TTGGTATTAGTTTTGATATTTTTTTTTCTTTTTTTTTTGAGATCATACAAATTTTGCTTTAATGTGATTAAATTTCCTGTATAGATTGTTTTATATATTTTTGATTTTTAATTATTGTAAATCATTTAATTATTTAACCATCGATTCTCGAACGTTAATTAAAGCATTTATCAAAGTTTTTGTTTAAACTTTTCTAAACTAGAAGTTTTTTTTTTGTTTTTATATGTTTTATAGAGATTTTTAAGAGTGTTGAAAATATATTTTAGACCGATGTAAATAAATTAATTTTTTTTTTCAAACTTTTTTAAAGTTTTGCGTTTTTCAAAAGTAATATTCCATTTCCATACTCATTTCGACGATTTTTACAAATAAAAAAATCTTATTTTAGTTATTGTAAATGAAAGACTTAACCATGTATACCAAAATGGACAAGAGATGTAGTTTTTGTTGTTTTCTTTTAAATGAATTGTATATATTAACATATATATAAACAACATTAAGTATATTTTAGCAGTGTACTTATTTAGGATTAGTGGAAAACCATGCGCTTATCTAACTATCAACGATAGTGAAATGAAAATATCTTTTATAAAATATCACAGATATCAAAATTTTATATTATATACAGCAACTACATGCAATTCCATTTTGGTATATATGTAGTTTTATTTGAATCATTTAAATATGTAATAAATTACCTGCATAAGCTGCTGCAGCATATGATGATGAATGCGCATGATATTCACGTCTATATTCACGTTCATATGAACCACTGTCATATGGTGCATGATGACCACTTGCATGTTTAGAAGATGGTGGTGGTGGTGGTGTTCCATACCTATCGTATTCGCTGGGATGCTCATATAAATGGTCATGCTCGCGAGATCTAGACAATATTTTTATGTTTAGTTTTTATGTTTGAATATATAAATAATTTTTGAATCTTCAAACCTGTGTGATTTTACCATTCCATAAGCAGGATCTTCCATAACATAACGTGCTTTTTCCAAAATTGAATAAACTTTCGGTTTAGCACCTTTATCATATATTGATGGTGGTGGTGTTCTGTAATATATTTTATACAAATGATTGATTTATATTAAGAATAATATATGCTTGAAAAAATATTGAAAACACAGACACAGTGTATATTGTTATTTCTAATTTGTATTAATGGTGTATGGTATATATAGATTTTATATACACTAACATTTAAAATCTAGTCATAAGAGATATTATTTTTTTCTTTATCGTAGTTAGTAGTTGTTCGCTTTTTTAAATATTCGTAGTTTAAAGACTTTCTCAACTTCATTTAATAAAGTCATTTCATGTTGATTATGGAAACATCTTCTACTCATGCAAGAATACAGTGCTTAACTTAGTTGGAGCGGTTTTGAATTTCGAACATACTACTTTTATTGTAATTTGATCATAATCAAATATAAACGATAGTTCACCCCAATATTAATAAAAGTCTAAAAATGTCTATACAAACATTTTCAATGTTACAAAACATTTTACATATTAAGTACTCTGTGCGTGTCCAGAAAAAACAGTAAGATTCCAAAATTTTTTTTTATTTATATTCCAATAATAATAAAATAAAAAAAATGTAAGAAAAAAACTTATAAAGGTGTACAAAGCCTCTGTGACAGTGCCGTTTTTATTTAAATATATATCAAATTTTTTAAATACGCTAAAGATACAGATAGTTCAATGAACAAATAGTCCACAAAAATGACAGGGTTTACATCCTGATGCCACTTGTCGACTTCGACGACTAAGTGCCGTTCGCCACATCGTAAAAGAACTATGCAGATCCTTGCGGGTTACAACAACAAGAAAAACAACATGAACAAATCTTCTAATAGTCTGGATGTTGACTAGCTTTGCTACTGTAGTTCGATTTAATCGAACTATCCGACTGATGAAAACGGATAGAAAAATAGAAAACTAATATTGCCTTTTCTAGATAATAAGCAATTTATTTTTAGTTCAGCTGTTATGCTAAGTGGATACATATGATAAAAAATTTTTTTTTTCATATTTCTGTCTAGCTAGAGCACACAAGAGTTATATAAAACTAGAATTTGTACGCCATCATTAATAATTATAAATTATTTATCAGAATAGGCCAAATTCTCGTGTCTAAGTGAATCGATCTTATTTATATAAGGGAAGCTGCTACGTATACCTACCCTATAAACATATTGCGATAAATTTTAATTTAATTTTTTTCACTATCAAATGCAAAATATTGAAAGTTTGATATCAACCCTTATCTACGTTGACAGTTCACTTATAAAAAGTATATGCAATTTTTTTTATAAAAGAAAATAAAAAGTGAATTTAAGAGTATTGGCTGTTTCTTTGAAATATGATGACTCATTTTACATTCCCTCTTTATATTAGTACCTAAAAGGGAATGCAAATTGTCATGCTTAAAAGCACACATAAAAGATTAATATCTTCTACCTCGTGCACTCAAACCAACGTATTACAGAAATGCGGAATTACTGGTTAGCACATCAAAAGAATGGATAAGTCAAAAACAAACGTTTTAAACAATAAAAAAAGAATTCTGTTTATTCATATGTTCCAAGTAGCCAAACTATTATTTCTGGTATATATTTCTCGCATGAAATAATTAATGAAATCTTGAGAATTAGAACGAGAAAGTGACCACATATGAGATAGTTTTCAAGGTCTTTTAAGAAAATTTTGACTATGATATAAGTTTCCTCATAAGAAAGGAAACTATTATGAAAAGGAAAAATCAATATAAATTAAATAACTATCACCTTTGTTAGAAAATCTATCGCAAGAACGATCATTCGGGGCTGTGCTGATTATGTTGCTACTCTTGCAATAAGTAAGTATTGACTTAAACAAAGTTATGCTTACTTAGTAGTTTAATTTTAAAGAGGATATCATCTATATAAGGATTGGATGTGTTTAAGGGAAAAGTTCTGTGAGAGAAATTTGTTTTTTTGTGGTCATTAGAATCATTGGACTGCCTGGGTGTTGAAGAATGCGGGGACGGACAGACAATGATGCAATTCATCCAGTTTTAGCAACTCCACTCTATGATTTATAATTATATTACTATGTTAATATCTTACCGGTTACTATAGGAACCGTGCTCGCCATATGTTTTGGCGTAATGAGATTTTTTGTACATGCGTTCCTTTGCATCCATTTCGCGCATCTGTTCCATGCGAATATCGTCGTTAGCATCGGGAATCATAAATTTACGTATTTCTGCTAAAGCATATGCTATCCGGTGATATGCTTCAGAAGGAGGTGCTACAGTTGAAATCTCAACATGTAAGTCCCGACTTAAATGTGCATATTTTGGATTTCCTGAACTGCGAAGTTCTTCTTCTTTAGCGTGATCCCTCATAGAATTACGACCCATAACAACCATTTTACAAAATGTTTCTTCTTGGAGTTGCCGAAGTGTGTTACCCTTTGGGCCGAGTATTTTTCCAACAAAGTTAAATTTTGGATATTCTTTAATAGGAAATAATACTTTCTGTGCAACTCTAATAGGTTTTTCATTATATACGTTCGCATAGATTTCAGGCTTTGGTATACGTCCACTAACAAGTATTTTTTCCACTTCTAAAAAGATAGTATGATATGTGTTGTAAATTAAAACTGCGTAAAAGTATAACTGTGTTTAATATACCATCATCCATAAGCCGCTTGCATACTGGATATTTTTCCAAGGATTTTTTCTCTTGTAAGCATTCATCCAAATAGGCACTTGTTTTTTCATTTAATTGTGGTGCATCGTGTAATCCTTGGGTGTGGTTAGATTGGTGTTCCTGGTTGCCATCAACGTCACCATCGCCACCCCCGCCACTAACATCATCATCGGCACGACGTTTTCTTTTGTAATCGCTAGTATCTTCACTATAGTCTCTATCATATTCACGTGGCATTTTATTGACTTGTTCCTTTTTATTTCTCTTATTAAATTATTTACTAATATCTTAATCAAACACCAAATTTTCTAACAGAAATTACTGAAAAATGATATATCGGAAAATGTATGTATGTACCTGAGCAAGCGTTGCCAGTGTTGATGGTGTGCGTAAATTTTTCATACAAATGCTTTGCTACATTTTGATACAACTCATACACATCTGTTTCATAAATCAGTCAATTTTGTATGGCTGTCAAATTTTCAAATTTAAAAATTTAAAGTTCATAAAAGTATCGCAAGATGTGGTAGGTTGATTGTAGTAACATTTGAGCAGACATTTTTTCTGCTGAATTTAAATAATAATAATTTTTTAATCCTTGAACCGATAAACAATATGACAAACTGTATACTTTCGTGTAGCACTTTTCTAGTTAACATCAATCAGTGGATAATTGTTCTTTTTCAACTGGAATATATTTACTTTTAATATCTGGCATAATTTGTATGTTAATTGCGAAAGTGCATTTATTGTTGTTCTGGTACTCTTGAAGTTTCAAATTTTCCTGAGCGTTCAATATTTTTTTAATATGATTCTCAACACCGATATGTATAATTAGAAAAATTAGAAATATAATTACTGTACATTAAAATTTTTGAACTTTAATATAATATAGTATAGGACAATATTAAAAGATAAAATTTAGAACAAAAATTCTAAAATAAGAGCAACATTTTTAGCTCTAATAATCTGTAATATTTTATTAGCAAATTATTTAACCAATCGTAAATATTTGCTATAACGTTTAATGATAAAAAAGATTATTTGAAATAATGTAAATAAGTTTTAGTCGAATTTTTCTTATATGGCGTTTACATTGGCCGAAAATGGCTCATTTTGAATGAGCCATTTGAAAGTGTTTACATTCGTTCTATTTCATTTGTTTTTATTTCAACAGCTGATTTTTCAACTTGCATGTTGATTTGATTTTTGGCCTGTGCCAAAAAAATTTTGCATGAAGGTTAAATATGCCTTCAAACTTTACATTAGAAACTTAAAACATATTTTTAACTTCGATTAATTGCTTTTTGGGAAGTAAAAGTTCTAAGAAGCAGTGCATCGTTTTCAAGAAAATGCAACCACCAAACATTTGTTTACCTTTTTTTGTAAATATGTTAAAAACAGCTTTTTCAAACTGTCAAAATGCCATGAAGAGCTTTCATTTAGGGTATGTTCAATGGATTCCTTTGCATTTGGAACGTATGTGGAATGCATTCGAACGTCTTTCATACAGAATGTGAGAAAATTGCTCATTTTTGTGCTTGAAATTTTATATGCAAGAATGAGCCATTCGATACTCATTTTCGATTTTTGACCAAACTGAGCCATTTTCGGCCAATGTAAACGCCGTATTAATTGAACTTCATGGATTAAAACACTTTTTACTGTTTTAGTATAAAATTGACATTAAGATACTAGTGTTTATTTTTAATTGTAATCAAAAAAGAATTAAAATTAAATTCATAAATATTTATTTGATATTAAATCTAATTTTGTCGAACTAAATATAAATAAAAAATTAAAATAATAGAAATATTATTAAAAATTACTGTAGCGAATATTGCATTAATTGCAATGAGTAATTGCGGAATATACATATATGTAACTACATATTTTAAAAATACATATACTTAAGTTGGATCTTGTATCATAAAAAATGATATATATTAATATAAATAATATATATGATGACATTTATCATGATGAACATGATATCATAATTATTGCAATTGCATAATAAAGGTTTTAGCTTAATTTTGTATTGAACTTGAATTAAAAGATTATTGAATATATATTAAATTAGTTTGAGTGTGGAATGAATTAGATTCTATACAGTATGTGAACGAAACATATTATATGTTTCAATTATTAAAAGAAATACACACTATGTATAAAAATCTATGTGCAAAAAAAAATCTATGTATAAAAATGCAACACTGTTGGTCGTATTTTGATTCTAATTATTTTGGATAAGAACTTCATCTAGTATTCAGGCGAATAATCGGCAACTGTCATTTATTTTCGCCGACGTATGGAAAAAAATCTTAAAAGCAAGAAAGAAAAAGTTTATGCAGCATATTTTCTG